GCGCAGCGCCCGGGCCGGGGGCGCCTGGGGTTTGTAGTCCGGGGAGGGGGCGCGCAGGGAGGGGGCTGGCCTGGCCCGCAAGGGGGCGAGGGGCAGAGCTGGGGAAGCCGGGCGAGCTGCGCAGCGTCTGGGGAGACTGCCCAGGGTGCTGGGGCGCGGGGAGCGGGATGGCCTGGCGCGGGGAGGGGCCCGGGACTGAACTGCGGGAAGAGCCGGGAGAGGGGGTGTGGATCCCTTTACACCAGAGATGGAGACAGATTTTGTTTTGTGTCTGTGTCTCCGTAGGAGCCCGCGCACGACCACCTCTGTGCGCGCGTGTCCCTGCGGGAGGCTCTTTGCAAGCTGGAGATAGACTGACCCTCCGTGTGGCTTTCTGATGCGAGGAACCAGCCAGTCGCTTGCTGGAAGGACGTGGGGCTTATTTTGCACACCCTTCCTCGCCCTGCGTGTGAGCACCGGCCGTGGTGGGTCATGGAGCTCTGCTCGCCACCTCCAGGGACAGGGTGCCCACTGGCGGACCTCCCCAGACCTCCCGGCCCGTCTTGAGGCGGCTCTGACGGTTGAAAATGAGATTTGTCCGGAGCCAAAGAGGTGGCGCAGTGCTAGAGCACTTGCTTAGCAGGAGCCAGGCCCTGGGCTCTCTCCCCAGTGGGCAAGAGGAGAGAGAGAGAAAGACGTGTCCACACCGGGAGAGCAAATCCGGTGTCCTGGAAGGTCCAAGTTACCCTGCACGCGCCCCGCTTTCCCGCTCACCCTCCCTCTGCCCATCTCCTCAACCCTCTCCTGCCCAGCAATGGCCCTGGGGCTCCCAACAGCCGGTGGTGCTTTTGCGAAGGAAGGACCAGGCCAACCTGCTGGATAGCAACTCACCAGCCCCCGTTCAGCCCTCCTCCTCCTTGACCTTTGAGCAGTGCTTGACCCTGATGACCTCTGTCTTCTGGAAATCCTAACTTCCTGGTTCCCAAACTCTAGGTGTTGTCTGCTGGCCTCTTAGCAGGCTGCTGCTTCCTCCCAGGACCCTTGAGCCTCAGCGCCCCCCCACTCTCCCCAGGGTCGTGTCCCCCCCCCCCCCGCAAGCACCTTTCTGTACCCGCAGGCCCGCAGCACCCATCTCTCTCCCTGCCAGCTGGATCCCTCCCCTCTGAGAAAGCTCCTTAAAAAAGGGAAAAAGAAAAGACAGCTCCTACTGTGTGTCTGAGCTGACACCAAGAGTGCAGAGACAAAGCAGACACGGGAAAACAAGGCCAGGCCCCTGATGGGGGACATGATGGTGGCCTTGCCTTCCCCCAAAGCTCCCTATCCTGCGTTCTCCGTCCACCTGGCCACTCCATGCAGACAGAACGCTGGCCTTGACTCCTTCCCATTGTAATACTGCTCCCATGTCCTGAGCACCCACCATGCAAACCTTCTGACCTCACAGCAGCTACTGCTGTTATTATCCCATTATACAGATCAGGAGACTGAGTCTTTGAGTGGGTAAACAACGTACAGGTGTTGGGCTGGCGTAATAGCTCAGTGGCCCAAGCGCCTGCTTGGCAAGCACAAGGTCCTGAATTTGATTCCCAGTATCAAAAACAAACAAACAAAAAAACATATGCAGGTGTTCGCAGGCAGGCTCTTATCTACCGCTGTTGATTGCCAAGCTCATTCTTATAAAACCATGGCCAGAGCTCCTCCCTCAATTGCCACATCCAGAGCTGTCTCCTGGTGCCACTCTGTCATACCCGTCTTCCTTCCTGACCCCTAGAGTGTCATTGTCCCCAGAATGAATGTGGTAGATTTAACCCCTTGCAGTAGCACCTCCCATGACCCCGTGACCTCCTGGATTGCACTCAAAAGCCTGCTTCGACATTTGACTCCCCTGCCAGCTCTTCTGTCCTAGGTGACCCTCCTGTGTCCGTGTCCCTTGCCCTTATCACACCAAGGAGTCCCGGGCTCCCGGCACCTCTGTGTCTCACTGCATCTTTGCTCTGCCTGGAATACCGTTGAGCTTTGTGACAGTCAGCCTTCTCATCCTTCAAGGCGCAGTTCACACCTCTCCCAGCAGTCCAGGCAGACAGCAGACAGCCTCACTGTGTGTAGGCTGAGTCTGCTTCCCTACCGGACCGGGCTGCGCCGACTGGTGTCTGCTTGCATCAAGTAGTTGCTGGCTAAAAATCTGAATGAATGAGTGAATGGATGGATGAATGAATGAATGAGTGGCATAGCCCTTTACACCTTTACTGAGGCATAAAGACAATGAAAATAAACTCCATGGGTTGCGGGGCGTGGCACATGCTTTGTTGCTGTAGTCCCAGCATCTGGGAGGCTGAGCAGGATTGCCATGAGTTCAAGGTCAGCCTGTGCTACATAGCAATTTCCTGTCTCAAAAAGAAAAGAGAAAGGCCGGCATGGTGGTGCACACCTGTAATCCCAGCACTTGGGAGGCTGAGGCAGGAGGATCGTTTTGAGTTCAAGACCAGCCTGGGCTACAAAGTGAGCTCAAGTCCAGCCTGAACTGCATAATGAGATTCTGTCTCAAAAAGACCAAAAATAAAAATAAAAAATAAAAAAAAATCTAACAGACAACCTTGCAAGGTGAGCGTGAATCATGAACTAGTTTCCTGTGTGTTCTCCCTGCCTGAGTGGCCTTTTGACAGCGTCAGTACTGAGGCAGCCCCCATAGACAAAGCCCAGACTTCCTAATGTGGTTTTCTACTCTGGCACTGTTTCTTGTGCAACCTGTAATTCCAGCTCGAAGTAATTACCTCCATCTTCCTTTCCTTCCTCCCTTCCTCATTCCTTCCTTCCTTCCTTCCTTTTTCCTTCCTTTCTTTCTTTTTTGAGACAGGCTCTTGCTTTGTATTCAGGCTGGCCTTGAACTTGCAGTGATCCTCCTGCCTCAGCCTCCTGAGTGTTGGGATCACAGGCGTGCGCCACCACACCCCACACTCCCTGCATTTCCCCACTTCCATGCCTTTCCTGGTGCTGTTCCTGTCCTCTAGGACTCTCTTCCGTTTCATATCTTTTAAAGTTGAATCGCTGGAGTTTTCTTCACTCTCCTAAAGAGGGAGGGGAAGCCTATTAAATATACAGATGACTGGGCCTCTTCCCCACAAATTCTGATTCAGTAGATTCACCCTGGAGTCTAGGAATCTTGGTTTTCAGCAGTCGCCTCTCACAATTCTTGTTTTCAGCCATAGGTGGGAATCACAGTATATTAGGCAGGCTGGGCTGGTTTATGCTGGTTTGTGTAATAAAGCTCTCCCAAATACAACGCGATTTAATACAACAGAGGTTTATTTTTGCAGTCAGTTGTCTGGAGTCCCAGAGCACCTGTCCCCACGGAAGACTCCGTACTCCTGGTGTTGAAATGTAGACACAGCTGGGTGTGGTGGCACACACCTGTAATCCCAACACTCATGAGGCTGAGGCAGGAGGATCGTTGTGAGTTCAAGACCAGCCTGGACTACAAAGTGAGCTCAAGGCCAGGCTGAACTGCATAGTGAGACCCTGTCACAAAAAGACAAAAAAAAAAAAAAAAAAAAAAAAGAAAAGAAATGTAGACACAGAATATCCACACACTGCTGGGAGTGGTGGCGCTGGGGCTCAAATTCTCATGCGTGAGGACCCCAGCTGGTTAATTTCTGCTTCCTGTATGGCGCAGGACCCATCGCACCTGCTGCGTTCAGGAACAAATAAATGAAAAGCCATCCACTAGCCGGTGTGACTGAGGACCACACTTTGATGCTAGAGATGTGCAGTGCCACACAAACATCACCACTGTCCTCGAGGAGCCAGTGACCTACTTTTTCTAACCCCTAGTTTCCAAATCTGTAGAATGGCCCTAAAATGCACTGCTCAGGCATGGAGGGTAGATTCAATGAGTGCTGTTATTCTGGTGTGTGCCCCTTTCTTTTCCTCTGTCTGTTCAATCCAGCACTCAGATTTTATCTCACTCAGTCCTGGGAATATCCCCTGCTCAGGACGCACACTGCCTAGTCTAATCATCAAGCACCTGCAAGTGGCTGGGTATGGTGGTGCACACCTATAATCCCAGCATTCAGGAGGCTGAGGCAGGAGGACCAATAAAATAACAATGAATGATGGGAATAGCTAACTTTCTTCAATGCCTGAGGTATATTCCCCAAACTTTCTCTTTTTTAAATTTTTAGACAGGATCTTGCTAAATTACCCAGGGTGCTCTCAAACTTGCAATCCTCCTGCCTCAGCCTCCCAACTAAGATTACAGGTGTGTGCCACCATACCTGGCTGGTAATAGCTAAATTTTATATACCAGGCTCTGTTTTCAGTATTTTATTGGTATAAACCCATTCCAAAAAATAAACACATAAATCCATACCATCATCACAATAACTCTCTGAGCTGACTGTAATTATCATCTCTATTTATGGATGAAGAAACTAAAATGCAAAGAGTTTAAGTAATTTGCTCAAAGCACAAGCTGCCTCCCAAATTAGACAGAAATCCTAGAATCAAGATAACCTGTAAACTGGTTTCTGCCTCCCCGAGGGCTTACCCAGCCCTACTCTCCCTTAAAGCCAAAGTCAATACATGCAGCAGAGACTGGGTTACTGTACCGCTGCTATCAATATATTCATTTTATTTTATTTTATTTTAGTCTTTTGGAGACAGGGTCTGCTGTGCAGTCCAGGCTGGCCTTGAGCTCACCTTGTAGCCCAGGCTGGCCTTGAACTCACAGTGATCCTCCTGCCTCAGCCTCCCTAGTGCTGGGATGACAGGGGT